TATATATTGACCAAATTAAGAATTGTCTTTTTAATAATTTCTACCGTCATGTAAAAATTTGCATTTTTCGTAAATGATTGAATGAAGTAAACAAACGAGACAAATTTTATCTAATACACATATACAAAGCATTTGTAAATCATTACATTATAGAAATGTAGTTGCCTCACATCACGTGATCAATAAATTTAATTAAATAGTCTGGCACAGTTTTTCGTTGTTGTCGGTGCATTTTTATTGGCCGGAAAATAATATGATATGATCTTGTAGTTCCTCGCAGACTTAAATTTTTACATTTTTTAAGTTGTAATCTGCATAAAACAAGTCATTGAGGTATTGTTTTCCTATAAAATATATTTCATCCCTAATTTTAAGGCGATTACCTGTAATATTTATTTTTATTATTCCATTGCTAGCATTTCTTTTTTGATTTTGATTCTTTTCTAAAATAAGCTTTTAAAATTAAAAGAGTTGTTTATTTTATTATATCATTATTCTATAATAAATTTTTTTATACATATTTTTGGATAAAATTTTTTAAATCGATGTTTAAACTTACTAGCCATTATTATTTTATCGTGCAAATTACTATAATATCCAATTATAAATTATAGTTAAAGAGCTCTATTAAAAGATTAACAACCTAACGATGAGTTTCATGCGCGATTTGATGTATGCATAAACTGTATTAATTTATGATTGTGAACTCACCAAGTTTGCTTTAGCAATAAACTTTTAATTTTAAATGTTATTTAACCTTCTGAGTGCTGAAGAGTTTTCTTATATACACGTTAATAGTGCGGAATGAAATGCGTAGTAATTTCCTCGCACAACAAAAATCACTATTGAGTAAAATGAATTAAAACTGCGATTGATATGAATTCAACTGCTCTCAATAGATGCTGAAATTATACTAACCAACCTTGTTCACCGTAGTATTTCATGTATATTTTTATTCATCTTTAATAATTCTTACATAAAGAAACACTCTTAAATATCAGTTACTGACTATTCATATTAGAAACAATGTACTGTGAGTCAAAAAAGAAAAGAAAACGGATCATCCTGAATAATATTTGACTTAATAATGATCTAAAACAGTGCTTCCCAACATTTTTTGTGCCATGCCCCACCTAATCCTTTCTAAAATTTTTATGCCCCCCCCTATGTAACATATACGTAATTTTAAACATTAAAAAATTGAATTGGTCACTTAAGAAACTTAAATAATAGGTTTTAGGAATAAATCATTTGGAAATTGTTAACGAAACACAGTAAGTAAATTTTCAAAATACATAATGAAAAACTTAAATTCAAATTCGAAATAATTTTAATAAAGATTTTTTTATAATAATTTAACATTTTAATTTATTGAGATGCTTGCGCTTGATGCTTGTTAGGTTACAATTTGGTTAGCTTCAGTCTCCAGTCTCCCCGTTGTATTACATCCAGACAATTTATTTTTTTTACCAGTAAATCATTTACAGCACTAAATCTACATTCAGCTAAATATGAGGATGGAAACGGTAACAATAGTTTTCTTGCGCATTTGTTTGAATTTGGGTATTTGATTTCTGTTTCCTCACGAAGCCATGCCATCACTCTTATTATGTTAAATAAAGTTTTGACTGACTCATCGTTTTGCATTTCTGAGGGTTCTTCTTGATACTGTATATTTGATATATCAGACAAATCCACTAACATTGACTGCATCATTCGTGTTGGAAAATCAATTTGTTTTAAATCAGAAAATCTTTCTTTTAAATCAGCCGGTAGAATTTTCAGATGATCGACAATAACAAGTAAAGCGGTATCATTTACTTCACATTTTTGGAGCCAATGAAACTGTTCAAAGTTTTTGTTGTTAATATATTTCTAACATAACTCAATAAGAGTAATGAAAACAAATATCTTCGCTTTTGCATCAAACAGAGTTTCATTTGTTCCTTGAAGTTGCTTATTTAATATTATTTAGTTTCTCAAAGATATCGGCTAAATAACTCACAAATGTTTTACCATCGACTGTTAACAGATACTTCATTTCAGGCTCGTTACTTAAAAAATCGCTAAGTCACATATTATTTATTGGCAGCAATTATTTAAGAATTCGCTTTTTTCTTCCAATTTTGCCACCGAAATCTAGCATTGCATTTAAATGGCCCGGAGCAAAAGGGTTAAGCTCATGTCGAGTCCATTGTCGAATTGCCCCCCAGTGGGGAGTGGGCCCCACGTTGGGAAACACTGATCTAAAACGTTTTAGGACTCAATCTTAATGGTTCGAGAAAGCAACTTCAAATATTCTAATTCATAAGTGCAGACGATATTTTAAGCAACGAAATCAGACAAGAAAATACTGTATCTGAACTAACATACCTTTTTTCAACGGATTCGGATTTCTGACCCCCAAATACAGCTGCAATCTGGGTAATATGCTCCCATAGTTTGGACCTTGGTAAACAAAGAGGTAGGTATCCTTTAGCCAAGATTTGGGATACCTCAATGTTATTTTAACTTTTTGTGTACTTTACCATATCTGATGAAATTTTCAGGCGAATCGAAAAAATCTTGCGCACAATTATAAAATTCGTTTATTTTAAGAAGATCCCACACAAAAAATAAATTTTCGTGAATAATTATTTTTTTTTATTTTATTAAATAATAGTGGAAAATTTTTAAATTCTAAGTTGCACAGTCTTATGCGTCGTTTTAAAGTATTTGATTTTACATAGCAAAATGCAAAATTTGAGCAAAATTTGTTGAATGGGTTCTGAGAAATCGAATTTTAAAGATGCCGAATGTTTAAAATTTGATTTCTCAAGAACCATTCAACTGATTTAGCTTAAAATTTATATTTTTGTACTTTATATCGTACTTTGAAAAAACGCAAAAAAAACTGTATACCTTACAAATTTTTTTCGACTATTATTTATGAAGTATCAAAAAATAATAAATATTTACTAAAAATTATTTTTTCCATAGGATTATCTTCGTGTAAAAGTATTTTAAAATTGAGCACGAATTTTTTCACTTTGCTTAAAAAGTTCTCGAGATATAGCGAAATACGCAAAAATTAAAATTAACATTACGAGGTCCAAATTTCGGATCGCTATCACCTGATCAAACTAAGGAGACCATATTTCTCAGATTGCGGTTATTCCCTATACTTTGGGGGTCAGAAATCCTAATCCGTTAAAAAAAGGTCTTTTCGCTCGGAGAAAGTACATCTTTGTGTCTGATTTCGTAACTTAAAATATTGTCTGCACTAATTAATTACCATAATTGAGATTACTCCCTCAAACCATTAACAATGAGTCCTAGAACGTGAAGATTTGATCATTACATCAAAAGTTATTCAGGGTTTTCCGTTTTTTTCTTTTTTAAAGCATTGTACATGTCCTAACAATATTTTATTTTATTAATGCCTGTTTAACATGATCTTAAAGCAAAAAATAACAAATTGCTAGTATTTTTTAACGTATGAGAAATTAAATGAACCCAATGAAATATACTAAATTGAAATCAAAATGTTTTTTATTCAATATTCTTACAACAAATCGCTCATGGACTGCAATAGTGGCACAAGTCCAAAAACACGCGTTTTGGACTAAGAACAGGCGTAAATATGAAAATACACATTCTTTCAGTAGCAATACTCATAAACTACTTGAAGGTAATCTTCGTATAAGCAAAATAAAGCATTTCTTGTGCACGTTCCTTTGCAACGAAAACTTTAAACCCACTTATCTCAAAACATGATTTTTTGAGTTGTGCCGCTATTGCAGCCCGTGAACAGCCATGATAGAACAGGTCCGTACCGGCACATGGCCTGACCGAAGGACCCGGCGAAACCCACCTTGGCATTCATTGAAATTCAAAATATTTACAGCAAGCGGCAGCATCTTATCATTATGCAGGTTTTTGATTGCATAAACATGATAGAGTTTTGCATATTTTAAACAATAAAAGAGGTTCTCTGGTGGCAACACCAGGCCAAAAGGCCCTTCTGCAATTATCAGCGTAATCTATCCGAACATTAAAATGAAGAATTTTTTTAAAAAAAACAATTACACCACAAGATGATCCCTGAACTAGAGGAAATATACTGCTGATGAGCATAAAAGGACATAAGTCTAAGGAATGATCGTTTAAAAAAGATAAGGTGGGAGATTAAAGAGCTAAAAGGTAACTAGAAGTTGATAGCTAAAAAGTAGCTAGGACTTAAATAGCTAAAAGACCAAAAAACGGTGGGAAGAAATTAGAACGGTAAACAGAGTAGAATAGTTAAAACAAGGAAATATCGTAAAAGTTGCAAAGATAAAAGTAGAAGTATAAAATCGAAAGAGGATTAAAACCTTTAAAAAGATAAAATTATCAAAAGGGATAAAAATAGTCAAGTAAACAAAGTGTAAAATTTAAAAGTAAAGATAGAGGATAAAAGCGGGTATAAGTAGCAGGTAAATAATATCGATATTTTTTTAATTATTTAATTGATATAAGAAAATACACTTACTACTCTTCCTCACTTGAAAGGCTAATTACACGTCTATAATATTTACACAAAAAATATCAATATTACATATTTATAACTTTATATAATGTAAGATGTTCAACCTATTTGGACTGAGAAAACTGCGAATGAAATAATAGCACAATCTATTAACAATAATTTTAGGTAAATAATCATTAATATCATGAATCATTAAGTAAAAAGTCAAAAAGTTTTTAAGAGCCTCATACTTCGTTTTTCCAAATATGTAATTTGCACAGCCTTGAGGGTTTAAAAATGTCAAAATGCTAGTTTAATAACCAAAAAAAATTTTTTTTGATATTATAGTAGCTTCAAATTTATATTATATAGAAAATGATTTTTATTCAAATTCTGAACATTAGGATTTAGACGTAGCTTGTTGGCTGAATTCCCACAACTTTCTTGCCATTTCATCATCCTGAGCTCTTGCAGATGGCTCTATTCTTGTGCAGTTACTGAAATCAGACAATAAAAAAAACACTACAAATGATTTGCACAAATAATATACATTTAGGATAGAAAGGTTTGACTTGTAATTTAGTTAACAGCGAATATTCCCTGGCGAATTGACAGAGCTGAATAAAACCCTGTACGGATTTACTTTAAAACTTTCGCAACGAAAATATCTTCTCATATGGAAAGAATATTTTGTGACTGTATTGTAACTTTTTCAGAAAAAATTTCTTTTAGTGTGAAAAAAAAACAATCTGACTACAGATATTCACATTAAATTTTACGGGTAAAACTTGTTCTTAAAGGGTTAAAAACCACTGAGATTACTGATTTACTCTATGACTTTTAAAGAAAAAATTGTTGTTTTATGGTATAAAACCGTTGAGGCTTCGGATTTACTTAGTAAGTTTTGCGGTTTCACACAACCGATGCAGTTGCCAATTTAAAACTTTAAATTTTGTTTCGATTTTTTTTCCTTTTGCAATATTTCGTTTATTAAATAAATATAAATCACCAAAAACACTTCGACTTCCATTCACTCCCCGTGTAGTTGGTAGCTGATGCACGTTAAAATTCTGTCGAGTCGCAAAGTCCTCCATGTTCCCATAACAAATCAATGCCTCTGGGGGTACTGGATTGGAGATCGATCGTTCTCTGATTCAGGTCAAAATTACAATCTGCGGATGAATAAATGGATGTATGAATGGATCCGCTTTATGAACAGGTGTGACGTATGATGTGGCAGAAGTCGAATTCTTGGCCATAGATGGCGCCACTGAAAAAACAAGAATCGCACACTCTGTCTTAAATTTGCTCGGTTTCACCAATCAGGCTTGCCCGTGTCGCAAGAACCAACCAGAACCAACCAGATTAAAGAAAACCTGCCTTGGAGCATCGGACGTGATTTTTATGAACGCTCGGCCACAGGGCCTTTCTCACTACATCCACTGACAGATCTACAAAGAATTGAACCAACCTGATTCGAAAAATTAGTTATGTTTGAACCTTGTTTTCTTTACAAAACTAACGTTGAAAGTAGTTACCAGCTTACTACTATTTTTTATTCAAGGATCCCACTACCAGCAAAAAGTAAACGACCTGAGATAAATAAGATCTTTCACGACTTCTGAAAACTGCTTCGATATATCTTTAATTTGTGAATTACGAAATGATTCCCGAATTTTTTTTGCGTTCATATATCTGAAAGAATAATAATACATATTTATTGATAGCTTAAAATATCTAAACATATCTCACTTTTATTACCACAAAAATTTCCAGACCGTGGGAACCCTATTTTTGTATTGCACTATCCATTATACTACTTCTTTTAAAAAGTATAACACTACACTACAAACTACGAAAAAAAGTAGCGACCACTGCAGTTTCGCTACTTCTGACTACTGGCAAAACCACACACTATACAAATAACTGTTGCAAAACTACAGGAACACCAAGTCGTAGAATACGTACCAATAATAGTATCCAGACTGATTCTCTAATGACTCCTCAACAGCACAGTAGATGGATGTCTGGGCACCATTGCGAGCGTTCTTCCAGAACAGTTTACTACATCCTTCATAAAAGAGTCCAGAAAATTTGTTCAAAGAAGCGTCTATATGTCGCCCAATGCTTGTATAAACAGCGCCGGGATGGAGACAATATGTCGTTACTCCAGTACCTGCAACATAAATTACAGGGAATTTGTGAAATTGTAAATATTTTCAAAATCCCTAAATAGAAAATCTGTGCACATTCGTGTCGCAAATGCATACTTAAGTTAGAAAGAACATAAGTGCTTTTAAATTTGGAACAACTGTCATTGTCTGTAGCAACTATGGTCAAGCACTTAGCTCTGTTTTACAGGGATTTACTTTTTAACTGCCATGGAATGAATTCCAACGAAATTTTGACCCCCCGTCAAACAACGTGAATGGCATCCGAGTTTGTGCACCTTTTCTCAGAACTTCCACACCATAATCAACTAGGGGTCTTTCAAGCATACCATCAGATTTAAGGCCTGCTTAGACGATCCAATTTCTTGGACAGAGATTGATTGATATTGATGGAAACTTGTTTTGCTTTGAGCTTGGATCGTGTAAACCACCATCCAAGTACTTGGTCCAAGTTCTTGGACGATAGTAGAGCATGTTCTACTTTCCCTCCAAGTTTTTCCTCCCTTAACCAATCAGCTTCTTAAGTTTTGTGACGTCAACAAGCAGACATCAGATTGTGTCATTTTGTTGTTCGTTTTCATATAATTTAGTGAAAATAAGTTAATCTGCTATGGTCTATTAGTGTTATTATGATTTTATTTGAATTTATTCAGTAATTTTAAAGTCATGTAAGTATGATTTTATAATGTTGAACATGAACAATGCGCATGCGCAAGTATTTCTTCTGACCAATCAGTGACATTCAAGAACTCGGATAGTGTCGACGAATCATCCAATTTTTTGGACAGAGAAATTCTACCAATTTCTCGGATTCAAGAACTTGGACCGTGTAAACAGGCCTTAAATGTGTACACTAACCGGTTGTTTATTTTGCTCTCAACCAATGGCGTGGAAGACGCTAGTTGCGCTCTAAGCTATCATGGAGATTAATCAGAGCAAAGCAGGCAATAAAATCATTTTTAAAACATTTTTCCTAGAATAAAACTGAAAGGATTTTCTGACGCCTTTCAGTCTTACGGTACAAAAGAACAAGGATTTCACGAATTTAATCTCTTACTTGTTTCGATTCGTCTTCTAAAATGTTTTTCGTTTGATGGTCAACGTTTTGAAACATTTAACTTTTTTCTTAAGTATGAATTTACGTACTGTAATGTGCATATATTCTTCGATTTAATTCTTTTCAATGATAATTAGGGTGGTCATTACAGAACATCCTGTTTATCTCCGCATAAAGTGTTTCATTTAGTTTTCGACTATTAAAATTTAAACTATTAAAATACAACTATTTAAAATACACTAATTAATGAAGTTATTTATGATCTTATATCTAATTATTAGTTCAAAACGGTATTTAGAACAAAATGCTTTACCTTCTAATCTTTTTGCTAGTTCACGTGTAAACAGAATATTTGCCAACTTGCTTCGACAATATGCAGCCACTGGTTTATAATTATGATCCATATTGCTGTCATTGAAATTTATTTTTCCATCTTTAAGCAAAAGTTAAAACACAATTATAATAAGAAATACTTTTAAAGGAACTTAAATACATTTAAAAAAAATTATAAAAATTATTACATTCTATATAAAAAAAAATATTTAATCCCGACAAATAAGGTGTCGTGATTATTGGGATGATCACTTAATAAATCCAATAGTCACAAATAATTACTATCCTAGTGATAGGGTGATTAAAAATTATTACATTCTAGAAAAAAATTATTTAATCCCGACAAATAAGGTGTCGTGATTATTGGGATGATCACTTAATCAATCCAATAGTCACAAATAGTTACTATCCTAATCATAGGGTGATTAAAAATTATTACATTCCATAAAAAAATATTTAATCCTGACAAATAAGGTGTCGTGATTATTAGGATGATCACTTAATCAATCCAATAGTCACAAATAATTACTATCCTAATCATAGGGTGATTGTTTTTATAAATAAATTCTAATTTTTTGTCTTTATCCATACACTCACATTTTATTAAAAAACCTATCTCCTAACTTTCGTTGCAACATCGCAACACAACTCTTGATTTTCTGAAAATCTGTTTCTGTTTCCGCTTTTTGTTCGAACAAGCTTTCCTATGTTTCTTGAAAGAGTTTTAAGTTAAATAAATTTGAAATTATTAAGTTATAATCTTGAGTTAGGGAAACAAAAAACATAAAAATGAAATATTTCTACTTTCTTCCCTCTTGTATCTATCTACTCTTTTCTTTAGAATAAACTGAGAAATCTGAGTAATTAATTGAATAGATGCAAACTAAACTAACTAAATCGCGCTACATGAAAATCAATTTTACCATTTTTACAAAAGAATGATTTAATTTCAAAATTAACTAAGTGCATAAATTATACACTTAATATATTATCTCAGACTTAGGTAACTCTTAGGCATGCAACAGACGTAATAGCGAAAAAAATAAGTACAGGAACAAAGGTTAAAGCAATACAATTGGAAAACCACCGGAAAACCACCAGACATGCTGGCTGTTGCGCCAAATACCAGCTGCAGTGTAGGCGTGTGCGCGTGTGCAGCGCCACCTATTTGGCTCCAAGTGGTTTGCGTCAGCGCCACCAAAATTTTTCGGAATATGTAGGTTACTCTGAGAGTGGCAAGAGATGAAAGGAAGAATTGGAAATATTTTTTGAATTGGCTTTTTGAAATATTTTGAAACGCTGTGCTTTTTCGTTGTTTTTTGTTTGAAGTAAATGGGTTTTTTTCGTGTGTGTTTTTAAAGTGCTGTCAATCATATAGACATGATGCCTCCTACAATCACAGTCAATCCGGTTAGGAACGACACTGGCACTCAACAAATGGAGTACGATAATGTGGGGGCGGAGTTATCAACCATGCCAACCGTCATCTATCAAAAGGTCCCTCGTGATTGAATCAAGTTAGCATGTCTTATATACCAGTGAATTGATGTTTAGTTTTCGTAGTGGTAGTTACGCCACAATACTCCCCCACCAGAATATTATCGGGGATAGAATTCGATGAACGGATACCACTAGTTGCTGTACTTGTGACAGACCGACTCTGTTTGATGAGTGCTGAATGTGAGAGGTGTATTAACATCACGTCGTAGCTTTCGTTGTTGCTTCTGTGTTGCATTTTGCAGTCACAAGTAGCAAGTTAATTGTTCAATGTGGACTATCCATCGAAGTAGGGGTTACCGTCAAGTTATTTGCGAAGTGGACGTTACTGCGCGTTCAAATCACGTCCGGGTCACCAATGTGGGGGCGGAGTTATCGACCATGCCAACCGTCATCTATCGAAAGGTACCTCGTGATTGAATCAAGTTAGCATGTCTTATATACCAGTGAATTGATGTTTAATTTTCGTAGTGGTAGTTACGCCACACCGTCACTAAAGATAGAACCGTAGTAGTCCTAAACAGTGACAATTCAACAGGAAAGAAGGTACTCAAAAATATATATAATGATAGTTCTCAGTCATTTACTATATAGCTTCTTGTATATGTCATTATACTTGTATATGTATTATATGTCATTTATACTTGCTGCTTATGTAATTTTTTGTGTTTTATGTATGTTTTGTCTGTAGAATGTTTGTTCTACTCTCGTGTGCCCTGAATAGGGCGGGACGAGGTATCAATAAACAATAGCTTCTTGTACAGTTTGACTTCGACTCCAATAATACTATTTTGATAATAAAATGCGCTATTTGTCATAATATATGGAATTTTTGCGATAAGCTTTCAAGTATTTTACTCGTGTCTTTAATTATAATTTATTCTTTTTCTTCCGACAATTAAATAGGACTAAGACCGGTATGGTATATATATCGAAAAAATATATGGTATATATCGGCATGGTATATCATCACACACATAGTCAGTTTTATTATTTGGCCTTTAAAAGATCAGCTGAATCATTAATTATGTAATATCATTTTGACAATATTATCTTTTTAATAAGCTTTTATAAAATAAGGTAAATAATTGTAATTTTGACTATGGAGCTTAATTTATCTTAAAAGTGAATTTATTTTTAGAGTTATCATGTCAAGTTTCCGACAAAATGAAGGTTCATTTTTTAAACCAATCTCAATGCATATGCTGCAAATAAAAAAGATTTAACTATCTTAATAACTAGAAACATTACGATATATGTACTAGTTATAAAAACTAAGCTCCTTGCTTTTAACACTGAATCAAAGCACAAAATGAGGCAATACAGAGATAAGTACTAAATTCTATATAGTAAAACTCCTTAGTATTGTTTCAATATAGATAATTTATAAATTTTTTCTGGACTTTTCATTAGATAACAGAATAATACTCAATACACGAAAAATCTTATTGCTCAAATTGAAATTATTATGTTTTGTTTTTACAAAAATACTCTCCTTAATTCTTTAAAAGTGTGACTTATCATGATATTAATTCGATTCGGAAGCAAAGCTGTCAGGCTTACTTATGTGAAGAATGGAAGAGACATTGATAATTCTAGCTGGAGCAGAAGCTTTAAGACGTTCCAGTAAAAGGTTTGTCAACAGGAAATGCCCTAAATGATTCACACCAAATTGTAACTCGAATCCATCTTCAGTAAGGGATTTAGGACAGCTTGCTACTCCTGTAAATAACATAAGCAATTACGACTAAAATGGGTGTTCTATATTTTAAAAAAGAATCAAAATAAATCTGGATTCAGTGATAGAATTCAGTTGGTGCACTAGTGCTTTAAATTTACTTGGCAGTGAACCTGATTTTAAAGTGTTCGAAGTTTGAAAACAGTGTTTAAAAATGTTAAGATTATAAGAAAATCAAAATCACTTGCAGTTAAATATATAAAGAGAGAAAATTTCAAAATTACTAAAACATATAAATAAAAATATCAAATGAAAAATCATGTTTTCGAATGGAAAACGCTACTACTCTTCCTGAATGCTGAACTCAATAACAATTACAATATTTTCTAGAAATAAAGATAACTCATCTTTGAAAGGAAATTGGGATGCTACTATTGATGTAAACTTGACATCAAGCCAAAAAGTTACAAATTTCCTATGGAGTTACTAACTTCTTAGTCAAGTCATTGAAAAATTGAAGGAAAAAATCTTCCCTGAAGATAAATGCTACTAATCTTCCTGAATGAAACAGTAACAATAACAGTTTCAATATTTTCCATAAAATAAAATCAATTATCTGCCTTTAAATTACTATTCGTTGAAAGAAAATTGAGTTGTGACAATTGATGTAAACTTTCTGCCTTGATAATTGCTATTCGCCGAAGGAAAATTGGGTTGTGATAATCGATGTAAGCTTGCAATGTTCTGCCTTGATAATTGCTATTCGTTGATGGAAAATTGGGTTGTGACAATTGAAGTAAAGTTACAATGGTCTGTTTTGATAATTGCTACTCGTTGAAGGAAAATTGAGTGGTGACAATTGATGTAAACTTACAATGTTCTGTCTTGATAATTGCTATTCGTTGAAGGAAAATTGGGTGGTGACAATTGATGTAAACTTACAATGTTCTGCCTTGATAATTACTATTCCTTGAAAGAAAATTGGGTTGTGTCTATTGATGTAAACTTACAATGTTCTGCCTTGATAATTACTATTCCTTGAAAGAAAATTGAGTTGTGACAATTGATGCAAGCTTACAATGTTCTGCCTTGATAATTGCTATTCGTTGAAGGAAAATTAGGTTATGACAATCGATGTAAACTTGCAATGTTCTGCCTTGATAATTGCTATTCGTTGAAGGAAAATTGAGTGGTGACAATTGATGTAAACTTACAATGTTCTGTCTTGATAATTGCTATTCGTTGAAGGAAAGTTGGGTTCTGACAATTGATGTAAACTTACAATGTTCTGCCTTGATAATTACTATTCATTGAAATTACTATTTAATTACTATTCTACTTATAATTACTATTTCCTGATGTGCCCCTAAATGTTGCTTTTTCCTTTATGCACAGGAACCGCACCAAGTCTAAGGAGACAAGTTTACATTATGTCTATCGAAGCTAGTATTCTTCTCTTATGTATAAGTAATATGTGCTAAGGGAAGTGAATGAGAACTTTAATTCAAAAATTGCAAATTATGAAAGGATAGTTTCACGCAACCGTAAAGCACCGTATAGGTTATATAATAAGATTTAATCTATTTTTACACACAAATATTGTGGGTAAAAAATATCTGTGTTTCACAATGTTTCACTTATTTTAATGATTATAGTACCTAGAGCTAAAATGATCTCAATTATCTGTTTCTGTTCGAATTCTTAAAATCACAGTAATACAAATTTCACTTTAAAAATACAAATAAAATAGATTATGTATGGTTTTAACTGATCAATCTAATGAGGACTTATAAAATCTTGAAATTTTTCTTTTCAAAAATCAAATTTCGCTTGTTGATGTTCAAGTTGTTGATTTTCGAGCCAAGAAACTATTACCATTTTTACAGATAGCGTTTGACAGTTATACTTAACTTTCTGTCCTAAAGTTCGTAGTTAGAGTTCAGCAACATTATCTTATTTACTTGTAATAAATACTTATTATTTTATTACACGGCAAAATATGAACTTTTTTTTCTTCTTCAAAACTTTGAAGTGATTTATTCACAATTATCTGAAAAATTCGAGTAATTAAACATAATTTAATAGCCAGTTGAACTGAAATTTTAAAACTACTTTACAAAAAGCAATTGATGTAAAAATTGATGTCCGTTGTGTCCTGTCATTCGAGCAGACACAGTAATTTTTAGAAAAATAAACAAGTTTCCAGCTTTTTAATCCTTCCCCCGAAATAAAGGATATTGATCAAAGCATTTTTTTTAAAGACTTTATTAGTAAGAGTAGACCTTAAAACTGCAATTAGCTATATAAAATTTAATAAAATAACTAACTTTATAAAAAAGCGATATTTGTAAGGCTTGCACTTTTACATTCCTTAGTCTACATCTTTAACATTATTTTAATCTCCTGCTATTGACCGTTAAATAATATTCCAAGTTCTTTTTTTATATATTTGGTGACATTCTAGAACTCTGTAACCTTTTTAAAGATAAGTTTCCTTGTTTTTTTATTTTAACAGCCGTTAGTGAACGTTCGTTCTTAGTCTTATTAGAAGATGCCGAAAGTGTTGCTCATTTATCATCACCCAGTGGGCACCTGTGAACCAAAGTTACGGAGGCGAGTAACATTACCCATGCCACACTACCACAGATACCAGTTCATAAGGTGGGCCACATTCACACATCGCACAACAGAAGACAACGCACAGAGAAACATCCATGCCCTAAACGGGATCGAGCCCGCAACCATTGCCTTCGCTGTCAGGCACGCTAACCACTAGGCCACCTAGCCAGCTTACAGATGCGTGACACGTTTTCAAAAAAAGTGGAAAAAAAGTCTGAATATTGCTTTTTTTTCGGGGGGGGGGATCAATTTTTTTGTATTATGTATGTTTCTGAAGTAACAGCATATGCAATTGAAGTTCATGAGTAAATTTCATTAAATGAAAATCGAATATTCATATGTATTACAGCAGGGAAAAAACAAAATTCTTTACCTGCGTTATTAATCAGAATATGAATACGTTGTTCCGTTTGTAATATCTTCTCAGCAAACTTTCGAATGGAAGCAAAGGAAGACAAATCGAGTTGTCTAACTTGAACTGCAGCTGAAGGCTTTTTTTCTTGGATGTCTTTAGCCGCTTCTTCGCCTTTTTTTGTGTCACGACATGCAATAATCACTCTTGCACCTGAAAGTGTCAGTGTTATATATACCCAAAAGAGATTCACCAAAGTGTTTCATTTTCTATAATATTTTTATTGAATTTGGCAGTATTGTTGCATTTAATATTAGCAAAACATTATGATAGCAATTACTTATTGAGCTTTCCAAATAAATGACCATATAAGAGGAAACTTTATGCAACAACATTCCATTCTAAGGAATGCTAAATTTTCATACTAATATTCCATTTTTGAAAAAAGCGGGCAAGTATATTGATGCTGACAAATATCTAAAATGATATTTTATAAATAGCTTTATAAGAATCAGAAAGACATAAAAAATGTCACACAACAAAAGTACGAGTCACTTAAAAGGTATTTTAAAAAAGGTCGGCAAAGCAAAAGATATTTCAATAGCAGTGAAAATTAAAAATTCGACTAGTCACCGAGCAACAAATATCGAAAGAAATTGATTCAGTCCAATAGCGAGTTTTCCTAGATACGCTATTGGACATCCACGGTTAATCCAATAGCGTATCAAGGAAAACTCGGGTCCACTTACTGATAAACATGAAGTTACAAATTTGATTTATTTATTTGTCAAATGCCAGTTACATTAGCCGTTAGGCCATTAAACTACTTGCTTGCCAATAGCGTTGAAATTGTTATACGAATTTGATTAACGGCCAAAGATGAGGGTGCACAAGGGAGTAGAAAATTACTTCTTGTTTAAACGATGTCTCGGGTGTGGGGCTCACGAACTAGCTACAGTTCGACCTTCAAAAAATGTGTGAGGTTCGACAATGTAATGGTACACTTTATTGATGGCTGTTATTATGCATACTGTAAACCGGGGCGAGTCTACCCATCCAGGGGTGAGTCTACCCATTTTAGTTTTATTTAATTTTCACTATTTTAAAATGCAAATAAAAACATTTTTACCAACGGAGGACTTAGTTCAGACTCTAAGGAAGATGGCGCTGTAGTAGTTTGATCCGTTTTTATTTATTTGGTGTCTTTTTAACCGACCTGTTCAAACGTCTTTTGAGAGATTTGTATTGAAAATCAGCAAACTTTTAGTTAGTGCTCCGTAAGTATATTATTATTATTACTATTTTCACTTTGGTTAAGTGATAAACTTATCTAAGTCTGAGATTACATTAATTTTATATGAAAAAAACAAAAAGAATGTAAGTTTTGCTGCTGTAAACAAAAAGCCAGAATTCGCGGGGCGAGTTTGCCCATTCGTATTTAGTTTTAATAAAGCATAATAATATAATTTAGAACTCTGTTTATATTAAAAATAAGTCATTTTAAATGAATTTGAGTATATTATTTTAATTCTGCATTGATAAATTTATCATTAATAAGAAAATTTATAGGTTAAATATAAATGTAAATATAAAATATGTTTATTTTACCTATTTTTTCAATTTTTATATTACAAAATTAACTTTTTTTATTTAATGCAAGTTAAATAAATTATTATTTATAAATTATTATTACCTCCCAAAAGAATGGGAAAAGGATTTTTCATGATTCCCAATGTTTGAATTTCGATTTTGTTAATAATCTTTAATTATTATTATTTATTAATTATTTAATTGTAAATTTATATTAATTTTAATTTATTTTTATCAACAATAATCAGAAAAAAATGTTATTTTATAATGTTAATGATTATAAAAACAAAACTGTGATCAAAATGTGATAATCGATCAAATACTCAATTTGTGTTATTTTATGAATAAAAAAATGGAATATATAATAAAGTTATGAATTTTACTTCATAAATATCCTATATAGTAACTAAAATAACAATTTAATAGTAAAATTTGATTATTTACAATGTTAACATTCTACTTTGGTTTCAATAAACAGTAACTATAGAAAATTTTCAGGTCAGCAGTTCTATGAAAATATACAGTAACAGCGTAACTGTTAATATTTTCTAGAATCGATTTCACAGCTTTAAAGAGGGATAAATAGCGATTCCGAAACACCTATTAAAAGCCTTTTTTCTTTAATATTTACAAAAGTTTGACCACTTGAAAGTTGACAAACTGAAAAAATGGGTAGACTCGCCCCATTTACGGTAAGTGTACAATTTCTTTAAACACAGATTTCTCAGGAACTATTAGACCGATTTCGTTCATATTTTGTATTTTGCCTTCTGAATATACTTTCTTTATAATGGAGTAGAAGTTATATCCCTCATAATTCGAAAATTTTTTCGACTTCTATTAAATAAATAAAGTAATAAATAATTATTAGAAATTATTTTTGCATGACATTATCAAATTTTCTAATTTCGTGCAAAAATATTTCAGTTCGCTTAAAGATTTCTGTAAATATGACAAAAGGTGAAATTAATAATAAATTATTCATATTCGGGACCGATCTCGCCACCAAACTATTTTGACCATATTTCGCAGATTGCTGTATTTTTCTATATTTAGAGAGTGTGGAATAAAATATGTTAATAAAAAGGTATGTTTAATCAGAAAAAATTTTGTGTCTGCTTTTGTAACTTAAAATATTGCCTGCTCTAATTAATTATCATATTTAAAGTCATCCCCTCGAACAATTAAAATTAAGTCCTCGTACGTGAAAATCTGATCATTTGATTAATCAAAAGTTATTCAGCATTATTAATTTTTTTTTTCGCGCTGTACATCGGGTTCATCACTTTGTCCTGTTAAAAAGATGGTATGAGCGGGTGAAATTTTTCATGGCTAATTCTATTTCACCGCCATTGATGTTTTAAAATTTAAAGTTTAGAGAAAATTGAGCTTACCTTGAGTAAATAACATAGTTTCATAAACTGAAAAAATGTCTACAAACTATCAAAATGTTAATGAATTATTTATAGATATTGATTATAATAGATTAATTTTCTATTCCTATGTAGTGCTTTTATAATTTGTTAGAAATTCTTTTTTCAGTCTTTGAAACGTCATGGTTCCCTCTAAGATTACGGGGGCTCACTTTTTTTAATACTGAAAATTTTAAATTATTTACTAAGGTAAACGAAAATTTTCCACTAAAGAATTTCTTCCGCGGAATAACGTCTTTATATGTCTCTGCAATTCCCCCACGGGAGTTTTTGCTGCTCCTAAATTGATGAGCAGAATTTTGAATTATAGAATACTCGACAGTATATAGCTGAATAATAGAATACTCTTCTTTTTCAGTACAGATTCACTTTTATCAATTTTGTAACTTGTGATGCCTATTATAATTTTTTTAAATTTTAATTTGAAACTTTTTTCTAAAATTTAAATTGCATTCATTAAATGTACGTTAGTTTACAATTCAAATGCATAAATTTGAATAATGACATGAATTTTCTCATACCTCTTTTGGAGAGATCCAAAGCGGTTTCTTTCCCAATACCAGTATTTCCACCTGTGATTATAACAGTTTTGTTTCGCAAGGAAGCATTACTTTGACATGTATTAGTGATAAATAAGTCCTTTAAATAAACCAAAACACTGTATACAGCTGTGGGAAAAAAATTTACATTTAAATGTTATTTTGTAACTATTAAATGAAGAATATCTTACTATAATGTTAAAATTGAACGAAGTGATAACATATTAAAGTATTTTTATTGGATAAGCAAATCACTTTATGACCTCAGTCAGACTAGATGCATGAGCAATTTTGAAAAGTTTTAGACAAATGGTGATAAGGCCACATTAATAATTTCTTGCAAGGCACTTGCGTTTTGTTTTTACACACAAAACTTAAATAAAATTATGTAAATGATTTTGTTTTATTATTTATTAAATAAAATTATGAATTAGTTTTCATTAATTTATTATCAATAAAAAATTAATTAAGTTTAATTTTTTATTAATAAAAAATTAATTATAATAATTTATTTTGAATAAAAATGAATGAATTATTTTTGCTATTAAACATTAGCGAATTTTCATTATTCAATATTAATAAAAATTAATTAATTAATAAAAAATTTCAAATTAATAATTTAACTAAAAAAAAAACTCTTATCAAAATCTTCCGAACCATTGTTGAGAAAGTTAAGTTGAAAAATTGTCTACTCCTATCTTCTTCCACCAAGCAAATCAGAGTTTTATCTCCCAACATGAACTTAAATGTGGCGACCACAATATCATTGTTAAATCAAAAAGAGTGCTATTAATGATTTTTAAAGAGCTCAAAATTATTAGTAATTAATAACATTTCTTAAAAATTGGACTTTTGTTTTTTAAATAAAATTTTTCAACTCATTTTTAGCTTGTACCTAACTTTATCTTAAGTTTTCTTTTTTTAAATTTTTTTTTTTCATTTAGCTTGTTAAACAAATCAATATCAATGTGTTATACTGATATATAGTATACAGTTTGTCTACGGTAAAAACTCCCCTCACCGCAAAGTCTGAGGCCGTCTGGTTATGGAAACAAGAATAGCGCATTTCAGGGAGGGTAGCTTCTCTTCACTCTAGGGCTAACACAATAGATCGAAGTCCCTTTCTCTTGCCGATCTGAGCCAAAACCTGTCTTAAGCAATGACCCCACACCCCTACTTGAAATAGTTATATCTCGTTACCCTAGTCACCGCCATGGCTCCAGACGAATAGCTAGGGGAGTTCTTACTTAAGACAAACTATAATAAATAACTACTTCCTTATTGTTGAAATGTTTAATAGATTGGTGGTTTGAAACTACTATGGTCGTTACTTCTTTTCGTAGAAGTGGTGTAGCAGTGTAGTACAACTACTTTTACGTTTTGTAACTTGACAACTACTTTTAACGTTCTTTTAAATAAAGAAACAAGGTTCAAACGTAAAGAGGTTTTTCGTATCTGATCAGTGCAAATCCTCGTGAGTCTATCAATGGACACAATGAGAATGCCCCTGTGGTCGAGAGTTAATAAGAATTACATCTTAGCAGAGCAGCAAGTTTTTTTCGTTAATCTAGGCATCATAATGACTAATACTTAGACCAGCCATTAGACATCACTTAGGCCATACCTTCAAATGCAAATATATACTCATGAAACTCTAGGACACCAATTAAAATGCTAGTACAATGGAAGAGAACGTATATTTTCTATTATTTTTCGATTAAACAGTGGTGGTTTAGGATATAGAGAGCTTGCCTCCCAATGCGGTGAACCGGGTTCGAATCCCGGCTATGGCAGGTTGATTCGAATTCCGCAACCGGCTCGCTCCAACCACAGCGCTGACGAAAAATATCCTCAGTAGTAGACGGATCCTGGGTTAGTCCCTTTGTCGACGGGCTAACTGTGGGAGGTTCACGTGGTCTTCCTTTCCATGTAACGCAAACGCGGGTTAGCTCCATCAAATAGTCCTCCACGAAGGCAAAGTTTCCCCAATGCTTGATCCAGGAGTTCCCTTGTCTTCTGGATTGGGTTCAAAATTACAAGGCAACGGAGTTGAACATTAGTAGCCGTAAACTCTAAATTGGATCGGATGTTCAACGACGGTTACAAAATAAAATAATGTTATTTTCGATGAACTTTATTTCCTAGACGAAAAAAAAAGAGTATTATGCACTTAAATCGCAAATATTAGATAACTTAGCATCATTTCCAAAATCGAATTTTTGCTGTCAAGAAGTTGAAGATTAAAAGAACAAATTTCGTAACATATAGTTTGGAATAACAAACTGGTTCATGTAAACATAAAAAAAACATTTCTTAATAATTTCTCAAGTTTAAGTAATTAGCTTCGCGTACAATCTTCATTTAATAACATTCAACCACTCCAATAATGAAAGTCATTAGCAAAATATAGATAGACACTTACTTGTCATTCTTATTTCATCAAAGCATAGAATAACAATGCTTATAAGAAAAAGTTCAAGTCCAAGAACCAATCGACAGCATTTAGAAATGTACAAAATCGCCGTTAGATCACTGAGTACGTACGTAATTTACTTAATACATACGTAATAAGTAAATCGCTAAGTACGATCGCTTCCTTTTTACATAATATTATATAAAAAGGATAATATTTTTTAATACTATGCTCATTCAAGGAAAAGATAGGACATTAAGAAATATTTTAATTTTGATTAATGAAATCAACTATCGAAGAAGACCTATCATTTTTGATGCTGTTAGTTAATTATTCTGTTTTGGTACATTTGTTGGGGGAGAAAAAATTAAATAAAAAAAAGGGAATTAAATAGTCTGACACAGTCTTCCATTGTTGTCGATGCATTTTTATTGGCCGAAAAATAACAGGGTATCATCCTGTATTTCCTCCTTGATTTAAATTTTTACATTTTCTTAGTTGTCATCTATAAAATAATTTAAGTCATTGAGGTATTGTTTTCCTATAAAATATATCATTTATCCCTAATTTAAAGGCAATTACATGCAATATTCATTTTTATTATTCCATTGCCATTATTCCGTTAAGTCCTTTCTAAATTAAGAGTTTAAAACTGAAAGAGTATGAAACGTGTTTTTATTATTATTACCTTATCAAGCCACATTTTAGGATATATTTATTTTAATCGATGTCTAAACTTATCAACCGTGTCACAATTGTTATTTTATAGTACAAATTACTATAATATACTATTACAAATTGTAGTTGGAGAGATTAGTTAAATGGTTAAAAACCTAGCGATCAGTTTCATGCTCATTACATTTTATATTTATTTAAATCGATGTCTAAACATATTAACCGTGCTACAATTATTATCCTATTGCACAAATTACTATAATATACTATTCCAAATTATAGTTGGAGAGATTAGTTAAATGGTTAAGAACCTTACGATCAGTTTCATGCTTTTATTTTTAGTTTCATGCTCATTACATTTTATATTTATTTAAATCGATGTCTAAACTTATTAACCGTGCTACAATTATTATCCTATCGCACAAATTACTATAATATACTATTCCAAATTATAGTAGGAAAGATTATTCAAATGGTTAAGAACATAACGATCAGTTTCATGCTCATATTTTTAGTTTCATGCTCATTACATTTTATATTTATTTAAATCGATGTCTAAACTTATTAACTGTGCTACAATTATTATTTTATCGTACAAATTACTATAATATACTATTACAAATTATAGTAGGAGAGATTATTCAAATGGTTAAGAACATAACGATCAGTTTCATGCTTTTATTTTTAGTTTCATGCTCATTACAATTTATATTTATTTAAATCGATGTCTAAACATATTAACCGTGCTACAATTATTATTCTATCGCACAAATTACTATAATATACTATTCCAAATTATAGTTGGAGAGATTAGTTAAATGGTTAAGAACCTTACGACCAGTTTCATGCTTTTATTTTTAGTTTCATGCTCATTACATTTTATATTTATTTAAATCGATGTCTAAACTTATTAAGTGTGCTACAATTATTATTTTATCGTACAAATTGCTATAATATACTATTGCAAATTATAGTTCTAGTAATTATTTAAATGGTTAAAAATCTAACGATCAGTTTCATGCTCATTACATTTTAGGATATATATATTTAAATCGATGTCTAATCTTATTAACCGTGTTACAATTATTACTTTATCGTATAAATAACTATAACATACTATTACAAATTATAGTTGGAGAGATTAGTTAAATGGTTAAGAACCTAACGATCAGTTTCATGCTCAATGTAATGCATGCATAAATTGTAAATAATAAATCAGTCTGTTTGATTAAAGAAAATATTCAATTACAGTCGTGACCTCATCTAATTCGTTTTGACAAAAAAAAATTTATTTTAAATGTTATTTTAAAAAACGATTGCTGTTTTTTTTGTGAAACTAACTTTTATTATTCAGTATCTTTCTGAAACAGATGTATAAAAAATACATTTATTTTTGTTAGTTAGAAAGCAAGTGTGATAATATACAAACTATTTTGAAAACTGACCTATTTTGATTTATTAATTGACTTATTTTAAGCCTATTAATAATTTATTGTTTATGAAATTTTTATTTTGATTGTAACTTGAACCATAATACAGTGAACGTTACAGAAACTTAAACACAGTGTTAAATTGATCTGAGTTTCCAGTCAATTTAAACCGTAATATCGTGTTCAAAAAGGATAACATTTCACATTGATTAAGTTCAACTAATAACTTTATTGAGGTTGCAGCATTTATGTATCATAAAGCGGTACCTTCAACCATAATACAATGATAGATATAGAAACTTTAATATGGTGTTAACTATCATACAGTGAACTATTATATAATGAAAGTTTCAGAAACTGTGTTGATTGCCAAATGAAATTAAAAAGTGCTTATCCCAATTAATTTCCTTTCTCGATAGTGATTCGCCTTTCTCGATAGCGATTCGTCAGATTTCGATAGCGTTTTTTTTTTTTTTTNTTTTTTTTTTTTTTTTTTTTTTTTTTTTTTTTTTTGATATTTGCAACTGATCACTCTACTATATGCTTTACGCTACATTTAAAGTAGATGATAAAAGAAATTATATAAAAATAAACACGCGTACTATGAGCACAATAACTTCTCATTTTAATTTTAAATATTTAAACTACTTTCACCTAGTGATATAGCTTTAAACGTAAGACTTTTTTTTTAAAAAATCTACGTATCTGTGCAAATACGAAAAGCACTGTTTTGGAAAATGTCATTTGAAATCACTCACAAAAAATTCAACCGGTACTCGTACTAAAGTCGATACCATTTCTCATTAGCATTTTTAGAAAAAATGCAATTTGTGTGAATGTCAAATAATATTGAAATTAATAGAATCAGTTTTTTGAAAACTTTAATTAGTGTTTTCCTTTAGCCAAAGGCCATTTTGGGGCCATGAAATTTTTTATGAATCTTATTAAATTTTAGGGGAATCTTATTAAATTTTAGGGGAAAAGAAAGAAAAATGCAGACAAGTTCCATACATCGGCTTATAAGTGCAGTAAGACCTCGATTATCCGAGCTAATTGGGACCGCTAGTACCTCGGACATCGGAAATCTCGGCTAATAGGAACCATGTATAAAAGCCTTCCGTGCTTGCGAATTTAACTACTTTTGAAGTAAACAATAGAACGTTTTTCAAATGATAAAAATAAACATATATGAACTTATGTTTCACAGCTAAAAAGATTTAAAAAGGAAATCAACTCTAGTAGTAAATTTTAAAAAGTAAAATGGAATTTCTTTAACTATACTTAGTTAAATATCGAAAGACGCATTTTCAAAAATAACACAAATCTCAAGAAAATATTGTATTTTTAAAATTTACATGATTAAACTTACAAGTCACATGACCACTGTTAACAAAGCATTCATGGATGTTGTCTTCTCAGGGTGTAATATTTCATGGAAGTTGAGTGCTTTTGTGGGGAATTAGTGCCTGTAACACGGACAACGAACTAATATGTGTATAATTTCTTCCAAGCTCATTTTGGAGAGAAGAAAAAAAAAATTTAGACTTCGTTATTGCCTCGGTTGACAGAAACCTCGGTTAATCAAAGCTCGGTTAATTGAGGTTCTACTGTACTAAATATTGACTGAAATATCCATCCGATTGAAACTCGTCATTAAGGTATTAAATTAAAGAACATCCGTGCCTTGCCTGGTATTCAAACCCAGACCTTCTGATGTAAGGTCAGCCCCTTGACCACTGCACATTCCGGTCGGCTCAGCTTAAAGGTATGACCATAAATATTATAGGCTGTAGTTGTTCGTAACACTCAGAAAAGTTGATTGAACATTATATTATAATATCAGTTTCTCGATCCCAAATACAGTACAAATTCTTCCTTGAAACAGGATTTTGTTGGGATTAAATTGAACCATGTTTCCATTCAGGTTGAACCAGTATATCATGGCATCAATCTCAAATTTTATAATTTTTATAATCACAAAGAATACATTTTAATTCAAAACACAGCAGTTGTCACGTTTTCGTTTCTTTATTGATATTAGATAATACATTATTTATACAGTCTTCTTCATCGCCTGAAAAACTAGTTACACATCTACGCATAAAAATGCCAATATTATATCTTTACAACTTCAGTTTATGTAATATAAGAGGCTGAAATAATTATTTCAACCAATTTAAACTGAAAAAACTGTGTATGAAATAACAGCACTGGCTTTTAACAATCATTTAAAGTAGATAATTATTATCATCAAAAACTGTTAAGAAGTTAAAAAATTAAGTGTATCTACATTCCATGTATAAGTTTTCCAAATATGTTATTTGTACAGCTTTATGTGTTTAAAAATTTTAACAAATTCTATTTCGTAAGTTTCATGCTAAACTTTTTTAAAGATTTCATAGCAGCTTCAATTTACAGTCATATTGAGCAAAAAATTATTGTTATTGATCATTACTGATCATTAGGTTCTAGATGTAGCTTGTTGGCTGAATTCCCACAACTTTCTTGCCATTTCATCATCCTGAGCTCTTGCAGAAGGCTCTATTCTGGTGCAGTTACTGAAATTAGACAATAAAATTAAAAAAAAACACTGCAAATGATTTGTACAAATAAGATGCATTTAGGATAAAAAGTTTTGACTTGCAATTCAGTTTAAAATTGCAAAGAATATTCGAATTCATTTAATTGTATAAATTGAGCATGGATATAGTTCTTGTTAAACCTAAAGCAATATACTTAAAATTGGCATACCCTAGAGCTATTACGGTTGGGCCTTAGTGCAGTAAAATCCGATCATTAGATAAAAAGTTATTCAGGGGGATTTTTTCCCTGAGGAAATGTATATAATAAATATTTTCAGAACTTAATTTTAAAGAGAGTAGCACCACTTATACAAAGTTAGACTAACCATCCGATATCGAACAAAGTGATCCGAAAGTAAGTTTTGATTTTTTCGAGTGCAGTGAGCACTAGAAAAGTTATTAATATATTTTATTCAACAGTTATTAATATATTTTCAACAGTTATTAATATATTTTATTACTTTTTCTTTTTAATTTTGAGTCTGTTTGATTGCTAATGTGTGAAATATTAATTGGTGATGAAATTTTTGCACCGTTCAAAAACTTACATTGGTTTCTGATACAATGCTACTGCTCAAATTTATGCCAATTACCTAGTATGAATAACGGTAAAATTTAGTTTGACGATACATTCCATTTTAGGATAAAATGATGATACTAATTCTGCTTTTGACGGTCAGAAAACGATTTAAATTTTTTATTCCCAATCAACTCAGTGCTCCAATGAAAATTTGAACTTTATAACTTGTCAGAAAGTATTATTGAAGAAAAATTAAATTTGGCGGTAAAATGACGATACATTTTGCTTGTATCGATCAGGAAATGATCTAAACTTGCATTGTCCCTCAAAGAACTTTTAATAGCCAGAAAAATGTTGAAAAACTCCAATCCTTACAAACAAACGTAGAAAAAATTCCAGAAAAATATATATATCAAGAACAGAATGAAAACATTTTACTTTTTGTTTTCAATATCACTCAAAATAAATAAATAAATAAATTAAAATAACGTACTTGAAATATTGAATTGTAAATATCATACATGTATAAAAACAATTGAAATAAATATGTATTTATATTAATAAAAAACATTCTACTCTATTGACATATTCTTAAATATTCTATTTAATGATTTAGAATTAAATACAGAGAGAGAAAAAAAGATGCATTAGCAAAATGTTACTGCTTTTACAGCAGGAAGAAGTTTTAAAAAAATGTTATGTAAGTATCCTTCATTCACAGTACAGAAATATAATTTGTAAGTCATTCCATTTCTTAAGTTAGAATTAAATTCATTATTTCTATTATTCGCCCAGGCATTTTTATCCTCCTATTTTTAATGTCCTTTCCTTTTATTCATTAATAATAATGTATCAATTCACCTTTTAAAAATTCTTCCATGGTGATTATCTAGCATTTGAATAGAATAAGTTACATCATTATGTTTTTTGATTATCTTAAAGAGACCTGAAAATTTTTTAGATCTTATTTTTCACTACGGTTTCAGTTTTGTTTACTTTAAGCATCTGAGAAATTATATAAGTTTTATCATCTATTATGTTTAAATCAAAAAGAACTTCCTCCAAGTAATGACTTTTATCTAACTGTAGTACTTGTATATAGGGATTAAAGTATCAAAAATTAATGACGAATTTCGACCAAAATGTATCATATATGGGAAAAATCCTGGTGGGCAATGTTTGGCACCATTATGCAAATTTTTATGAATTCTTGTATTTTTAAATAGAATTTCATCTTTCATTAAATAATTTATAGTTTATTTTACGCTAGCATTAATTCGTTCATTCACAGTATTAGCCGCCGGATGTGCACAAGTGGTGGGATTAATTTTAATGTCCAAGAATTTAAAAAAAATATTCAAATATTTCTGATGTACACCGAGTACCGAAATCCGTTAAGATCATATCAATTTATAGTTTATTTTACGCTAGCATTAATTCGTTCATTCACAGTATTAGCCGCCGGATGTGCACAAGTGGTGGGATTAATTTTAATGTCCAAGAATTTAAAAAAAGCATTCAAATATTTCTGATGTAAACCGAGGACCAAAATCCGTTACGATCATATCAATTTATAGTTTATTTTACGCTAGCATTAATTCGTTCATTCACAGTATTAGCCGCCGGATGTGCACAAGTGGTGGGATTAATTTTAATGTCCAAGAATTTAAAAAAAGTATTCAAATATTTCTGATGTGAACCGAGGACCGAAATCCGTTAAGATCATATCAGGTTTGCCATAAATGCAAATATATGTAAAAAAGACAGAGTCAGTAGTTATTTTGGTTAACGTAGTTTTGGCTCTAAATGTTTGCTGAAATGATTAATAAGAGTCAAATTGGACTAGGACCAGCTGTGACTAGGACCTATGGTTTGTCCTCAGTTGTGAGTAGGACCTATGGTTTGTCTGTGATTTGTCCTCAGCTGTGTCTAAAGAAACAAATTCAGATGGTCTTTTTGGAATAATATTATTATGTGAAGGAGCTTGAAGTGTTTCGTAATGTTTATTTAAATACATTTAGGTCAAGATTTAACAAAATTTTCTGTATCAGAATACATGGCATACCAAAAATATCTACATTTTACATACATATTAAGGATTTTACATATTACATATTTAGGATTTTGGAGCAGCAATAATTCTCAATATATATATCGATTATTCTCAATATGTCAACACATTAATAATTTTATATCAGAGTTAATAAAGTGATGTTGATTAGATTTATTGAATTGTTTATTTCCAATGCTAATATAAATTTTCTTAATATTTTCATCTTATTTTTGTTTCTGTAAGAATGTATCGTTAGCAATTTCCAGAAGGTGGTGCTTGTTTACAATGGTATTGTTTTTCATAATTTTGTTCTTCGTCGTTAGAGTTTCTGACAGAAGGAAGTATTCCTCATTTATTTAAAGTAGTTGAGGATTATTAGTTACATCATGTTAGGGTGGTTCCTGTCCTAATCGATTAAAAAAATCTGATAAAATATTTTGAGCTCCAGAAAAGTGTTTAAAAGTAAAAGAATTTCCGCTTAGTTGAAGTAACCAACTTGTTCAGTCCAAGGGAAAAGCTTACTTATAATGTTTTAGGGGTTTACTACCAGATTAAATAATAAAATGCCGATTATAAAGATAATGTTTAAAAGTCAAAACAGATTTTATCATTGCCATTAATTCAATTTTACAGGATATAGGAATTTGAAAAATATGATACAAAAGGAAAATATGTAATATAAAAAATATGATACATGATAATTGAATATTGAAATTCGAAAAATATGAACCATATCTGTATTTAAAAGAAAGTCTTTTTCCCATTGAGTCTTAAGAATGGTTTATTAAAAAATACTTTATCGTAGAAAATTAAAAATATTTTGATTTTCTTCAGTCTATTTGAATTTAACTTTACTGGGGATTAAATCAATTAACTGTTAAATTTGTTTGTCATAGCATGGAAGTGAATTTTCATAATATCCACAAACATTAATTAATTTCGCAAGTTGTCTCTAAGTTTTAGGAGTACGAAACGTTGCAATTTTAACTATATTTGATTGACTAGGTACAACGTTTTATTTTGATATTTTTAATCCTAAATAATTTATTTCTTTAAGGTAAAATTTACATTAACTTAGTGAGAGAGTTATATTATATTTAATTAAAATAGAAATAAGAATTTTTAATATTTCTATAGTTTTTTCAAAAGAATTACTTGCAATTACTAAATCATCTTGATACGCTGATATTCATTCTATCAAGATGATTTAGTAATCGCAAGAATTACTTGCAATTACTAAATCATCTTGATACGCGCGTATTCATTCTATCAAGATGATTTAGTAATCGCAAGAATTACTTGCAATTACTAAATCATCTTGATACGCGCATATTCATTCTATCAAGATGATTTAGTAATCGCAAGAATCACTTGCAATTACTAAATCATCTTGATACGCGCATATTCATTCTATCAAGATGATTTAGTAATTGCAAGAATTACTTACAATTACTAAATCATCTTGATACGCGCATATTCCTTCCAGTTGAGCCTTCTCAATTATTGAAATCATAAGAGCCTGAAAAGCTGTTTTTAAACCAAAAACTAATATTTTATTTTTAAATGTGCCCCAAGGGGTTGTAAATGACAGTTTATTTTGGTATTTTTCATGAAAGTTGAACATGTTAGAAAGGTCAAGACAGCAGAAGAAGCGGTAATTAGAGTAATTTAAAATGATATTTTGAATCTTAGGAAGTGAGTTAGTCCAATGTTTAGCGATGTTATTAATTAATTGCAAGTCGAAAGCCAACAGGTATTACTTTATCTATACATCTGAGCGTTTTTAAAGATTTTGAAAAGACTTGATAATTTTTTCTAATAATAATTGTATATAATAATAATTGCATAATAATAACTGTCTTTGTTCTGGTTAATCGAAATGACCTAGTTGAAAATCACCTTCCTGTAATTCACTTTTTCTTAAATTTATTACATCTCTTGCAGGTACAATTAATTACATTTGAAAATTCCTGTCTTTTAATTTTATCTTTTTCTTCGTTTTTAATACTATAATCAATAAAATTTAATTAGGCTGGGATAGCCTGGTCGGTAGGGCACTGGGCCCAAGTCCGAGAATTCGTGAGTTCGAACCCCGCCGGCCGAAGACTCCCCGTGTTGTTGGTGACTGATGCAAGTCAAAATTCTGTCGAGTCGCTAAGTCCTCCATGTTCCCATAACAAATCAATACCTCTGGGGGTACTAGATTGGAGATCGATCGTTCTCTGATTCAGGCCAAAATTATGATCTGTGGATGAATGAATGGATGTATGGATGGGTTCGCCTTATAAACAGGTGTGACGTATGATGTGGCAGAAGTCGAATTCAAGGCCATAGATGGCGCCACTGAAAAACAAGAATCACACACTCAGCCTTAAATTTGCTCGATTTCACCAAGCAGGCTTGCCCTTGTGACAAGTGGCATTAGAACCAACCCAACCATAAAATGTAATTTTTTAATAGTCAATTAATTTTTTAACAGTTTCATGGTTTGGTAAAAAACCATTCTAACTACGGATTTTCTTGGTAATCTTTGCGGAGAAAACTTACCAAACTTAATTGTTCTTGTATTCTAAAAAAAAACGAACCGTTAAGACTAATGATTTACTTTATGACATTTTTGGAAAAAAATTGTGATTGTATGGTAAAAAAACTAATGAGGCAACAGACTTACTTCGTAGTTTGCTCAACCAACTTTACTACATGTTTAAAATCGTAAATTTTGCGGGATTTAGAATCACCAAAGCGTAACATTCATAAGAAATAAAGCTTATCGGGAGTGTTTGGTGCTCGAACTTAGGCTTAATCTATTATGATTATATGTACACGAGCATATCGGTCACGATCGTAATATACTGACACTAACTAGACAGAAAAAGTTTAAATCGGTGAACAGATTGTCTCCTACCTCATTGCATGGCATTGTCAAACCAGGCACTACACAAATAATAACTATTGCAAGACTACAGGAACTGGAAAAATAAGAAAACACCAGGTCGTAGAAAACGTACCAATAATAGTACCCTGACTGGTTTTCTAATGACTCCTCAACAGCGCAGTAGATGGATGTCTGAGCACCATTGCGAGCGTTCTTCCAGAACAGTTTGCTACATCCTTCATAAATGTGTCCAATGAATTTGTTTACTGAGGTGTTTAAATGGCGTCCTAGGCCTGTATGAACGGCACCGGGGTGGAGACAATATGTCGTTACGTCTGTACCTGAAACAGAAATTACAGGGTATTTGTAAAGTAGAAAATAATTTCAGAATCCTTAATAAAATTAAAGTTATAAAAAAAATATGCACATTAGTGGTCACAAATGCATACTTAAGTTAGAAAGAACATAAGTGTTTTTAAATTTGGACAAACTGGTATTGTCTGCAGCAACTATGGTCAAACACTTTTTACAGGGCTTTATCTTTTAACGGCCATGGAAGAAATGCCACGAACTTTTAACGCCTGTCAAATGACGTGTGCAGTACCTGAATTGGTACCCCTCTTTTCGGAACTTCAACACCACAACCACAGAGAGGACTTTCAGCTATCAATGTGCATATGGCTGCATATACTAGCCGGTTGTTTATTTTGCTATCAATGTCGTGAGTGATGCTATAGATGTGTTCCAAACACTCATGGAAGTTAATCAGAGCAAAGCAAAGGTATTAAAATCATCTAAAAACAGTTATTTGAGAATAAAGCTTAAAGGTATTTTCCAGCGCTTACTAGACAAATAAAGTCTTACTAGACAAATAAACAAGGGTTTGAAGAATTGAATATTTTCCTTGCTTTTTCTTAACTTTTTAAAATTATTGATCACCGTTAGGAAGCATTTAGTTTTTTTTCCTCAATTAAGAATTTATAACCCGTAAGGCATATAAATTTTTTTGTTGTTTTTGTTTTTCTTTCTTCTTTTGTGTATTTATTGGCCATCGTGATTCTCGTGTGTATTTCCTGTGTAGTGTCGTTTTTGTTGTTAATCTTAGACCCCAAATAGGTGAAGCTATCAACGGCTTCGAATTTGTAAGCTCCAATTTCAAACTGTGTTTCTTCATAGTCAGCTTTTGTGCCGGGCATATATTTAGTTTTATTAGTAAAGCGGTACCTGTTTTAGAAGATCAAACACGGAACTTTGCAAATCATATAAAGAACCCAATGTCATTAAATTTATCAAAATTCAAAGGATTAAATGGGCAGGCCACATTATAAGAATGGAGGATAGCAGGACAACCGAAAAAGTTTTCTGTGCCAGGCCAACAGGTACAAGAAAAAGAGGACGACCAAACCTAAGATTTCTAGACTGTCTTGAAAAGGACCTACAAGTTCTAAATATAATAAATTGGAGAACCTTGGCTAAGGGACGAATGTCTTGGCATAGGCTTGTTGAGAAGGCCAAGGCTCATCCTGGGCTGTCGTGCCAATGAGAAGAAGAAGAAAAAGGTATATAAATTTTTGAATTTAATTTTTTTCAAGAATAATTGAGGTGGTCATTGCAGAACATCCTGCCATCTCAGCATAAAGTGCTTGTTTTATTTTTTTAAAGAAATTCAAGCATTTCAAATATATTAATCATTGAAATGATTTATGATCTTATTATTAGTTTAAAATGTAATTAGTACAAATCACTTTACCTTCTAATCTCTTTGCTAGTTCACGCGTAAACAGTATATTTGCCAGCTTGCTTCGACAATATGCAGCTAATGGTTCATAATTGCGATCTAGGTTGATGTCATTGAAATTTATCTTTCCATCTTAAACAAGAATTAAAACACAATTAGATCAAGAAACACATTGAAAAAAAGAAGAAAATTTACAAAAATTATAATATTACAAATAAAATTAATCCTGATAAATAAGGCTTTTTGACTATTCAGGAAAAAAAAGCTGGCCTTTTTAAAAAAAGCCAGACCAGCTGGTTTTTATTAAAAAGACCGACTTTTATTTAAAACAGCCAGTCTTCATTGGCTTTTTGAAATTTTATTATTCACGTACTTAAATTGTTTTATTAATGATTACTCAGTAAAATAACTTAAGTAAAACATGTTACATTAATTTTACTGTCTCTTAAGGACATTTATTCCATAAATAGATAAAATGCTATTAAGTCATAACGATACAATTGCTTCTCCATATTTGCTTCCAAACCAAACATTTTTGTCTGAAATTATTTTAACCATATTCTAATTCATCCCAACTGTTCTTTAAATGGATTTCACATGATTATTTTTTAAAATTATTCTAAATCATTTAAATATTAGACATTTTCTATAAAATTGATCATGATTTCTGCGAACTAATTATCATATTTTTTTAAAAAGTCGGGCATATAGTAATTATAGTTGATTCTGTATTATTCGTATACTTATAAAGCATTAAATAAGTTGGTTTCTAATTGTAGTTCTAAGTTGTTTGAAATTATCTTTCTTAATGCTTCCAGTGTTAAAGCTGTTGCTTCTAATTGTTACGAAAGTCCAAAGTTGTAGCTCTAAATTGTTCCTAACATAAAATTTAGTAATTAGTTAACATTTTTTGTATTATTTAAGTTTTGGAAAAATATTAGTTTTATTGAAAATCAGTTTTCTTAATGTTAGTCAGTCTTTTTTAGGTGGGTTAAAAAAAAATTACCGACTTTTTTTGTCTTGGCTGAAATTCGGCAACTCTTTAATCATTGGGTTGATCTTGGAATTACTTCAATGGTCACAAACAATTATAATCTCAATAACAGGTGATTAATTTCATAAAAAAATTTCAAATTTTGCTTTTTTTTTACACATACATTTTATTAAAAGGTTTTTCTGTTCAAACTCAGTTGTTTGTACTCAGTTTGCGTTTCCACATTTTGTTTGAACAAACGTTCCTACGTTTCTTAAAAGTGTTTCAAGTTAAATTAATTTGAAATTATAAAGAAAGAAAGAAAAGTTAGGAAAAAAATCCTACTGAAATGAAGTATTTTTACAATGTTCTCTCGACTATTTACTATTTATCTACTCTTATCTTTAAAATATACTGGGAAATCTAAGTAATTAATTAAATGTATGCAAACTAAGCTAACTATTCTGTACAACATGCAAATTAGTTAAACCATTTTTACAAAAGAGTAATTTAATTGGGTGTTTGCAACTCGAGAAGAAGTGAAATGATTATGCCTAACATGTGATTTAAATCAGATTTGATTGGATGCCTGTAAGTGACGTCACGCATGTGTGTCAAACCTGATTGGCTTCTACATCCACAAATGCCGATGACGTCATCCACTTGTATCCAATTGCAGAAACTAATTAAATATACTAATTAGATTTTTAAGATATTATCTTAGGCATAGGTAACTCTTAAGCATGCTACAGACCTAATACTAGCGTAAAAATAAGTAAGGAAAGAAGTTAAAGAATTACAATTTTAAGACCAATGGCATGCAGGCAGTATTACGTTGTAAGTTAAAATCCGAAGTGAAACTTTTAGAAATACGAACTGAAACTTAAATGTTAGGGCATGCGCGCATCCATTGCATAACCTCCCCCCAAATACTTCTAGGTTAGTTGGCTTTACGTACGAGATCTGGATGTAAGATGTTATGTTTGTCTGCTTGTTAATTGTATACCATTGTTGATGTTGTTTTGCTGAATAAAATATGTTATTAAATAGTGCTGGTATTATCCTGGACCTTCCAAACAGTGACATACGTATCGACTAACTTAAAGCTATCTGAAAGCTGAAAGCCGTTACCGAAGAGACAACCCTAGTAGTCCTAAGAGTGTTAACTCAACAGAAAATATGGTACTCAAGAAAAATATAGTGATAGTCATTAGTCATAAAAACTAGGTAGTTTCCTATGCAAAATGACTTCAATAATAATACCATTTTGATATTTTAATGTACTATTTGGCATTATATGATTCTAATAAAATATTTGCGATAACCTTTCAAGCATTTCACTCTTGCCTTTAGTCATCATTTATTCTTTTTTCTTAATGATGACTAATGACGATTATGGCCGGCATGATATTAATCCATAAGAAATGAATGTATCATATACACATAGTCAGTTTTATTATTTGGTCATCTGAGTTATAAATTAAGTAGTAGCATTTAAACATTATTATTATTTTTGAAATAAAGCTTTATTAAAAAAGGGTAAATGATTGTAATTTTGCTTTGTGTATAATTTAACTTATCTTAAAACTGCCAATTTTTCAGAATAATCATGTTAAGTTTCCCTTGGTACGCGTAACGGTGAATTTTACTCAAAATTCGTTCATAAGAGCAAAATTAGTATTATTATTATTTTTTTTTTGCTTGCTTTCGAAATTATGAGGATTTAAACATTATCACTCATTTCCTTTAAATAAACCACAAAGCACATGCTGTAAATAAAATAAAATTAAGTCAGTTTGATGACAAGAAATACTACGATATACGTAATCAAAAATACTAACATTTAGGCTTGGTGCTTTTAACACGAAATCAACTGATTGTGTAAAGAAAAAAAGTTTCTTACGGAATTTAAAAAAGGCATTCTGAAAAGCACAAAACGACGTAATACAGTGTTGATTTTTAAATTCTATATAGTACAGTTTTTCTGTATTGTTTCCAGATAAGTATTCCATAGTTTTGACGAATATCCTCTAGATAACATAATAATACACAAAAAATCTTATTGCTGACACTGAAATCATTATTGGTTTTCTTTACAAAACTATGTACCAATGTGGAAAAAGTAGACAGGTATCAATGGAAATGGATAGATACCATTTGGATATCTTGGGAATATCAGAACTTAGATGGACAGGTTTTGGCAAGATTAAAACTGGAAGTGAACAAATCATTTTGTACTCAGGAGCTGAAGAAAAGCACGAAAGAGGCGTGGCGCTAATCATTAATAAAGAAACAGCGGAGAGTCTTTTGGAATGGGAACCAATCAG